TTTCGTAGCCACAAATTCTAAGTGAAAATAAAAATCCTGTGTCACTCACACTTTTTAACCTGTTCGGCAAAAACAAAATGAGAATTTTTCAATCAGTCCTCGTTAGTCAGCTGAAGCCTATGAAAAGACATGGCTGTATTTATACCTCACTCATTATTTCTATCGTGTTATTCTCACTTCCACCATGTCATACTACATGTGTATTATCATAATGTACTTATATAACCATACATATGACAGCACCATATTGACTCACTATACCACAGGATGCTCTGTAACATTGAAAACTCTTTACAAAAGGAATTAGTTTCATATTTGCAATCACCGAGGCTGATGTCTTTAATGCTGATGTATTTGTTCATCACTATTAAAGGAGTAGTTCACCCTGAGAGTAAAGATTGGTTCTGTGCTTTTAACCAATCTTTGTTTAACCACAAGATAGAAATATGGCTTGTACATGTTTAACAGCTCGAGAGTGTGAACAATTAAATGATATTATCTCAATTTCCTGTGACTAGAGCTACTTGTAGCTGCAATAATCTGTTTCAGTGGTGAAACTCAGTGATTGACCCACAGAAAACCTTCACCAGACTATGGAGTTACCTCAGCTCTTTTGTTTTTAGCTTCTTTCAGCTCATTGTTTTGGTTTTGAAGCCTGAAATATCACTGTTGAAGTTCAGTATTTATTATAGTGGTCGTAGGTATTAATTAAAGGAACAAGGTTTATCTCTCAGGCGTTGGACACTTAATTTTGGAATCACAGTTTTCATTTGGACATAATCAATACTTCTCAAATGTTTATGCTTTCTGTGTCCACAGCCTACATCAGCAACGATAGTTGGCTTACATGTCTACCAACTTAATAAGGTGATAAAAGGTTAAAATGTATTTTAATGCCGGTGTAAAGACCCTCACTGTTCACATATATCAAGAGGAGAGTTTATGAAAGTGTCATATAGATACAGATGTTCTTACTTCGTCTTTCCAAAGAGATATTTTAAAAGATCAGTTAGTCAGATGTTTAAAAGGGAAATTTAAGGCTGAACAGTTGTGAATTCGCTCAAACATCAGAAACATGAGGAACAACCTTGTATCTTTATTCTGGGGTGAACTATTCCTCAAAGATTCGTGGGGTGTTTTGCAAACTGCTGTCCGCAGAAATCTCTGTGACCACATCAGAAAACTAGGCGTGAATCCGTCAACAATCAGAATGTACTATTTAACGCAGATGAACTGGCTTCAGTCAGGGGCTGTGATCAGCAGACTTCAGACACTCACTCACTTCTTGCCTTTGTGCTCAGTTCAGAATGTATTTAAACTATTTGCATTCATTCCTCCCCATAACTGGAATGCTCTTTAACTCCAGACTGCGTTTCAGCCCACAAGACTCCTCGATGAGGTCAGGTGCCATGGGCAGCTGAAGACACTAACGGCCGGGCCACACTGGATGCGTGTGCGTCGTAAAACATCTTGCTTTTCATTTCGCCGCCAAAGTTATCAGGTTAAAGCGTCCACACTGCCGTGTGAGCCACGCTGCTCTTTTAGAGAGTCGGGGTCTCACCTATTTTTGCCGTGCACCAAGTGTCCCACAGCCAAATATAAAATAACAGTGAAAATAATCTTTCACCACAGTATCAATGTCTGAGGAATGTCACAACGTAAATATTTGCAACACTTCCTTTGCCTTTTTCAAAGTAAAAGCACTGTAGTGTCTGTGTTGACTGAGTCCATTCGTTATTGTAGGAGAGGAAGATGCACGGCTTCATACAGAGGTGTCCCGGCTTATAGATGAGTACTTAGGCTACTTTATTAAAGGAAATACAGTGATCATACCAAAAACCTCACATAGCAGCTCTGCAGCAGACGTGTTCCCTGTGTGAACAACAGACTCACGAGAAGCGGCTGTCACATGCACCCAGTGTGGCCGGGGCGTTGGGGTTCTCTGCATTTGTATTCCTGTCAGCCGTGACTTTCACATCTTGATCTTCCCAATGGCAGATCAGGATTAAAAACAAGAATAAAAGGGAGCGAAGCCTCATAATGTTGAGGTTTATCAGATTTTTGTAGTGTTGAAACAGAAAAATAAACAGTTTAAAATCGTAATATATAAATCATATAAGCTAGTCTTTTTTAGAAAATGACTGATCACTGGTTCAAAATCCAGAATTGTGAATATTTCTGACTGTTCTATCACTGTAAATGGAAAATAATTGTTGGGACCAAACTATTGCAGGGACAAATAACCAAATTTTTGAATGTCACTACGACCTCTGGGGAATTAGATACACTAGATGATCACTTAATGAATAAAACAAAATTCAAACTTTAACACAGAAAGTCAGTAATAATTGCAGCCCTACCCTCATCATGTGCCAGCATTGACACTTTACAGTTGCAGCATCCAGTCTAAAAACCTGACACTGACATTGTATTTACCCATAAACAGTAGACTGTTATGAACTTTAAGACGCAGACTGACTGTGTTCAGGTTCTCGTGTCATACACACGTTTTTTGTGTGTGTTTGTGAAAGGTGTGTGCTGAGTTCCTGCAGTTATGGCCAAAGTCCCGTAAATGTCAATCTCTTTACGGGACACACCTACTGGCTGTACTGAATGTCACAGGGCCCGCACTGCTCACTGCCTTACAGGTGCAGCACCAGTACAGCTCACTGAAGCGAGCAGGAGAGACTGCAGACCCTCAGTCCTTCCTAATCCTACCCTGACTTGTATCGCGCCATCATCTCATCATAGTCAGAGAAATCTGGACAATTCTCAGTTAGTGGATTTACATACACTAGTATCCTTGTAATGAGTTGATTTGAAGAGAATCATTGTTTCTGATCGTTATCTACGATGCCCAATGAGTCGGGTCAGGTTAAGTCAAAAAAATTTAAATGATATCTGGGTTCAGGTCGGTTTCAATCACGTTGGTTGGGCTATTAGATGTATTTTTAACGCTGATCATGCCTGTAATTGGGGAAAACATTGCGCTCAGGTTCGGACACAAAAAACAGAGTGCCTGTCTGGTCTGTGTTGGCCTCGTGTTATTTTGGGACAGAAAATTGCAGCACATGCCGCAGTACTGTGCCAGTACGTCATCAAATGAAGTTACAATATAATCATTAAATTGTTACCCATCACTGGTGACAACATGTAGAAGGTTGGACATCCAGAAAACCAGTCCTCAACTACACATTCTTCTTCCTTGTCAAATCATGTTGCTTACATTACCTGCAATACATCTAACTGTTGATAGTTCCTCTTATTTCAGCTAAACTATGCTACTATCTGTAAATATAGCCTGGAGGATCAGAACCTACATAAAACTCAAGTCCAGGATACTAATGCACACGTCTACTACTAATGTACTGTCTGACCGTTGTTTGGATTTCTCAGTTTAATGAGACTGGTGTCACAGGTTGGGCCGGTCTACCTTCCTAACGTCCCTTCACTGAGCTCACACCAGCTTTGTCAACTTCATCACTCTGTTTAATTGTTCAAAGATGTGGCAGATACACAAACCCATCTCTCTACAGAGAAAACCCCCTAAAAAACAAACTTAATGTCATGATGACAATTGCAGTATCCAGTTTCATCATCCATATCTTTAAAATGCTGTAATATAAGCTTCCTCCTTCCCTCATCTTCATCCTCATCCGTCTTTGTTTCTCCTCTTTCCACCCATTGAACCTCAACTCACAAAGATGCTGGTTGGTCACACACAAGCAGAAAAGACACTTGTGCATTTGAATTATCTTGCTTTTGTTTTGTACAGTTTTAAGAAGTCACACATTTTGGGGGGCAATGTTAGCTAGCGTTCCCGACATATGTAGCAACTCTGTGGACGTCAGTCCAGCCGCATTTTATTTCTTTCTAAAACTTTGAAGAAGTATGAGATTTTTGTTTTTGTCTGTACATCATGATTCTAACTGTTTGGCTTGTGCTTTGTTGTTTTTTATTTCATGACATTGTGACTCCTAGTGACTAGGCCATTAGTACACAACACTGGGGAGGCCTCCTCAACCATACACACTACCTCTCCGTCTGCTTGCACAGACTCAAACACTGAACCGCATGAACATATGCATTGAACGTGCCAGGCTGCAGCAGCAGAGCAGATTGACAGATTGCAGGGGAAAAAAAAGCAACAAACCCGGAACTGAAATTATCCATGATTGTGTCTTGAACCCAAAGTGATAAATAATTTGTGGCTCTGCTTTTAGTTTTTGCCAAAGTAGCCTACATTCAGGCGAGTGTGTGACATTGGGTTGCAGTTGAATTGTGTTTGCATTCTGCTCATGTTTTTACACCATGCTTATGAAGAAGCAGCATTATTGTACTGTGTTTAAAAAAGATGTTTCACCAATGTCCCCTTGAGAAGCCCAACACGTGACGAATAATCAGGTGCCAAAACGTAACGCTGCTCGCCAGGTATTTTCCACCTTGATTTGATCAGAGCAGGTACTTGTGAATTATCAGATGGTTAGTATGGCCTGCGATTACCATGGAAGGAGTGTAGTTCAGATGGCCTCTTTAAGTGCAAGTATGTTATTGTTGTTATTGATAATCACTCGTTTTGGGTTTAATTTTTTAACATGTGGAAATAGTTCAAAACTGGATTTTTTTTATATATATGTAAATGAATATAATGCTGTAAAGTGCGGTCATGAATCAAGAGATTTCTCTTTCACATCAATACAGTTAAAAAAAATAAAACCACAGTGAAAAGACTTGTTTGTGTCTCTGTCCAACATGTTATTGCCTCAGCTATAGAGGTGTTCTCATTTGTTTGTTTGTCAGCAGGATTATGCAAAAACTACTCAACTAATTTCCATGAAACTGTGTGGAGGTGTGCGGCATGACCTAAATAAGGATCCATTAAATTTAGATGTGGATCCAGGATTTTTTTTACACTGTTTTAAAAGTGTGAGATTCAACATTTCATCAATATCTCAGGATGATAATCATCATGGATCTCGATTTATAAAAAATAAAACAGATCTAGTGAATTTGAGAGGGGGTTTCACAAGGGGACTGATGGCCCTTTGGTGGAGATCCGTGCTTCATGCAGTAGATGGCGGTAATGCAAAAAGCGAGGATGAAGCCTGCCCATCGGAGGGAAGCTGGAGAAGAAGAATCGCCTTGTGTACTTCCGGTTAGCAAACATGGCTCAAGGATCACAGAAGTTTAAAGCTCAGCGGCCTGGAGGCTCCAAGAAGCCTCACCAGAGCAAACAGAAAGGGCCGAAGAAAGGAGGTAGGACTCCGGCATGTCTCCCGTTGTTCTCTGAGCTGCTGTAAACACGTGGAAACCAGTTCCAGTCCCACAGCGTCCACATGTGACCTGCATGGAAACACGTTGCGACTCGAGTCAGTGTGCAGCAGATACTTCATGTTATGATTCTCCCTCTAAAGTGTGTTTACACCAGTAAACTGACTGAACTCAATCCTTCCATTAGATCGCTCTACCTTCATACGGACATGGCTTTAAACTCACATGTTAGCTGCTCCCTGCTGTCGTTGCTTCAAGGTGTGTTAGACATGTTGCTGGGAAACAAAACACTACCAAGAATGACAGTATAGATTTAATTCATGACAAAATAAAGTCCAATGTGTAAACAAATATTGAAGATGAATTGTCTAAACACAGTGATCCTCAGATTTGTTAAAAATTGCTGTTTATCAGGTGCTTGTCTTTTAAACCACAACCCTCACTCAGGACATGTTATCAATCTTCAAACCAAATAAATATATATATATATGTATATTTATACTTAATGTCTGATACTCTGTATCTGTTTGAACCGCACTACGATTATGAGCCTTTTAGAAAAAAAACAATTAAAAACTAAGTATACTCTCATTTACAATTTTTTTTAGGTACCTTAGCTAAAACAAATAAGGAATGAAAAAGCACAGCAAAATGCTTCTCTTAATACGGTATATGTTTTTTATATGTAGCAAATATTACTATAACTTAACCTCAAGGAAGACACTATCAATGGTTAAATGACAAACACAAGTTATAAAGCAGAACATGCTTTGATGATAAACCGATAAACCAGTTTTCAGTGTATCTGATGATAGTTTAAAATCAGTAGAGGCCTTGGTGGGCGGCTGTGGCCCAGGAGGCATGTCATCCACTAACCAGATGGTCCCGGCTCCATGCTGAAGTGTCCAATATGGAATGCTTGTAAACCATGTAAAATATATATAACACAAAGAGTTGTGGGGTCACATTGATGATTGCAGATAGAAACAGCCTTATTATGGAAGAGCTGCAAGAATGTGTGAGTGTGACTTGTACTGTAAAGCACTTTGAGTGGTCGATAAGAGTAAAATATAATCTTAACGCGGTATTCAATGTATTATTGCATTTCCAGCCTATCTGGTTTAAGACAGAATTTCAAAATGTATGTTTATCATTTCATTTCATTTAACTGTTTGTGAGGGCATTTTGAAATTTGTATGTGATTTAATGTTTTTGCCTTCATAAAGGGAGGACCATTGCACCTAAGAAGACTCAAGTGGTTCAGCAGCAGAAACTGAAGAAGGTGAGAAGAAGTAACAGAAAAGTGACAGCAGTCTGAATGTTATCCGTGAGCTCTACAGATAACTCTTAACATCAACTTTACTTTTCCCTGAAGTGTCTTGAAGTTGCCATCAGGAACAAGATTGAGATGGAGGTGACCCACAAGGCCAGCACCTCCCTGCATAAGCCGCTGAGTGTGGTTAAAGGGGCTGAAGTTAAAGCCAAACCAGGAGCAGTCCGGCCAGGAACCAGTTCTAAATAGGACCAGATACACCACCTCACACCTGCTGACCGGAACCTGATGGTGTTAAAATCCGAAGGACTGAGATGAAGCATCAGTGAGCTGCAGTAATTTTCAAATGTTCTTCAGGCTTTTAGAAGAAATCAGAGGTGGACCTGGACAGATTCTTGTCAAAGTCACAACAAGACAAATTTAAAAGACGACATTTTTGAATAAAATGGATCACTGGGCCATGGATATTACATTAATGGCCATTTGGGGGCACCACAGGACTTATATATTCACAGTAAGGATTAAAACAGAATGAACACAACAAACCTTCAATTTTATTTTTGTAATTACATTCACATTTTTCGTATAGCCGTCACTACACAGAAAATAAATGAGGCAAGTGAGAATGACGGCTCTCTAAGAACAATGTGGGCGGAACATAATGTTTGAGAAGGAGCAGGGAGTCACAGTCTTATATCAGCTTGCTGTATAGAACCTAATGATTTGAAAATGTTCAAGAGTAAATTCCAGCCATCACTTATCGTTCCTGTAAATATTGAATGATATTGAGAGCATCTGTTGTGATCATGGTGGAAATATGACGTGGAAATAAATGCCGGATGATTGAATACATCCAGATCACGTGCAGGAAGTCTGATCATCTGATTTGATTTTTTCAGGACATAAATTATAAAAGTCTGCCAAAAGATTTTATTTTCTATCTGTTAATCCTCATACACTTTACATGAGCTGTCGGAATGCAGAGCTTTAGTAAATGCAATGCAATTTTTTGTATGGTGTATTTGAATTAAAGATATTTTGAGATCTTCCACGATTATCAAAAATAGTGTTACATTTTTGGTAGAGAGGACATTTCTTGTGTCCCCTGGAAGTACTTGTCTTCTGAGCTTGGGCTGGATGATATGGCAAAAACGTATATCAAGAAAGAATTGTTCATATCAGTCGATATTGATAGTTATTGCAATAAATGTCACATTATTAGAGTACAGAATGACGAACACTTGATAAAATCTCAGGTAGATTAATTTGTTTAACCTCCTCACTGTCTTTACACTATACATAAATAATATATTGAAACTAACCTTATACAGTTTCTTCGCTATTGATGGAAAGTATATTGCGGTAATTCCTAATATTGTTTTATTGCCCTAATCTGAGCTACTTGCAGCACGTGGCTGTATTTGGTGAAGCTGTGTGTATTTGCAGTACATGTTTTCTTTAGTTCTCTCAGCCAGTAAACCTTTCGAAGCCTGTGTCAGAGGGATTTTGAATATAGAATATAGCTAATATACAGTGTGTATAAAAAATAATACAATTAAATACCAAACTTTTATAAGGGATTTATTAAAATCCTTTGTGTCACTTGAACCTCATGTAATCCACAGGCACAATATAGTTACATCTACATTTCAGCGTCATAGTTATGAGGTGTCTGTTTTTTAACCCTGCTTACATTAACCACAGTGTTGCCACAGAGACTTCCTGAATGTAACAGTGTGTTACTACAACACTAATAAGAACAACAATCACAACAAGCTGCCTGTTGAAATTAATGATCAAATACAGTCAACATGTCCAGCAGCACTTATTTCTAAAGCAAGTTTGTAATAGTTAACAGTGAATCTTTAAAAAGCCTTAATGGCCTCTACCCAGTGGTGAGAGCGCTGGAAGCGAGGGAAGGAGTCTTTAGCCATCAGGTTGTAGATCGTCTGCTGTGCCTTCTTGAACGTGTCAGCACATGGAGAGTCCATCACACTCAGCAGAGCTTCACGGGTCTCTGAGTCCAGGTTTACCTAGAGCAGGTTATCAGAAGAAGATCATGAATATTCAGGGATATCTGTCAATCTCTTTGCCATAACTTCCTCGTATATCACATTCTCCTTTCCACCAACCTCCTGTGGTGCATCAGGGTTGATAAACTGGCTGTAGATGCCGCTGGCCTTGGTCTTTTGCAAGTTTGAGGGCAAAACCCCGTAGTTCTGACACGCCAGCCAGAACTCCAGGTTCTCCTCACTGAACTCTGAACGCAGGAACCCACGAAACGCCTGCAGACCTCCTGATGGAGAGATGAGTGAAAGCATGGAGAGGACGATGAGACAGGACAGAAAGACAACCTGTTCGCCAGCAACTCAAGCTACATATTTCCTAAAAATTTCAACTTCACATCAGTTTCTCTCCGCCCCCCGGGTCCATAGTCTCAGGGTACAATTCCAGTGAGCCACGGCCAATTCAGCCTTAGAAGCAACAATGTGGTTGTCATTGAAATTTTCTTTAAAGATGTAGGAAAATACCAAAATATTACTATTTTTCTTATCAACATAATTGTAAAGCCACTTTACCCCGTTAAAAGTTTAAAAGTTTACTGTGAGGCCCAGTGAAGCCAGATATGTAGCTTTTCACCCTTGTCTGTTTTTTAGTGGTTTGTTTCTACATTACAAATAAAATCAAGATTACCACTAAATTTGGTGGAAGGGTGTGGGTCAGGAGATAACCCATTAAAGGTCGGTGCGAATCCAGATCAGGCCTTTTTTTTGCTTGTTGAGGATTATTTTTGACATTTTTGTGAATATCTCACAAAATAATGCAGCGCTCTTTAAGACAAATCTGACATCTGTAGAGTGCTAATATGTATGAGCAGGTGAATTTGGTGTGGATCCAGATAATGAATTAGATTTTATGAATCAAAATGAATATTTTTTTATCTATATTCGGTTGCAGTATGGTAACAACTATTCCGTTCAGGTATATCAGAGACTGAACATTTCCCCTGTGTTTAATGTGAGCAGTTTGTAGAATAATTCTATACACATGGTTTATGCATCTGATCTCCATATGCAATATGGTGATTAAGTGGCCAATTAGCCTTGGATAATATGTGCTCTCTGGGCTTCACCTACTGTGACCTGTCTAAGGAACTGGTGCATGAACTCACTTCAGAAGTAATAAACTTTAACAAACAGACTGTGTCTTACCTTTGCTGTTTAGCAGAGTTTCCAGGTCCTGAAGAGTTTTTCCATCCTGAACCCTGAGAAGAGAAAACACAGAAACGGTCAAAATTCTGCTTCACTGTGACTGGATTCATGTTATATTTGAATTACAGATGTCAGTAGGTTTACTTTAGCTTGTGGTGTGTCTCAGCCAGATGGCTGAACATCACCCGCATCTCTTTTGCCCTGAGACACACAGACAGACACAAGAAAATCACACCAGGCTCTGCACAAAACACTTCATAATACAAACTATGAAGACCGTGTCAAATACTTACTTCTCCAGGCATGAGGAGGGCAGGGAGGAGAGTCCTTTACACATCGAGCTCTTAGGTCTTAGAAAACCGACAAAGAGAAAATTAAGAGACAAAGCTGTGTAAGTTCACAGAAAGTGATCTTACATAGTTTTCTTCTATCTGTCCACATCCCAGACTGGTGCTGCTGTTAAATAGTCTCCTTGGATGTTATCTAGGGCATGAATCTGCTCCTGTCCAGCAGGTGCAGAGAGGGGAGCTGAAAAGAGGTGACAGCAGCTGAATGGGGGAGCTGTTGTCCATAATCGCTGTCTACGTAGCTCTGTCAACATGGACATACAAATCAAGTCAGCATACACAATAGGATAATTAAAGCAAGGGGACTTGTAGTCTGTGTGTGGTCAGGGATCATTACAAACCTTTAGAGTTCATCACAGGAGAATGAAGTGATGAGGGAGCAGCAGGTGGGCACCGGAATCACACAACTGCAGGGATGGCAAGATTGTGTTTTATAATGATGGAGGAGATAAGACAAAATAAAGTTCATTAAATGAAGCTCCTCTGCAATAACAGCAATGCTTTTTTCTCCACCTTTTCCCAACTCTCTTGTTTTTTCTTGTTTTATTATGACAAATATACATGTAAATGTATAATTGTTTTTACTTTTTGTACATGGTGATAAAATCCCCAATATTCAATATAAATTTTTATGATCTTCACTATTCCTCTGTTCGTTTGTTTGTTTGCTGCATATTTATAATTCAAAGCCCCCTCCATTTATTTTTGTGCATTACATTTTTTCACCTCTGTCCAAATGTTTGTTGGTTGATTTGTTTGTTTTTCAGCAGGATTGCACAAAAACCACTGAACAGATTTCCACAAAACTAAGTGGAAGGATGGGACATAGGTCAAGTAAAAAACTGTATTTGGTGCAGACTGACAGGAATGTTCTTTAATCACTTTCTCGAAAATTGTGAGAGGGCGATCAGGCACATTACTGATATCTCAGTGTGTATGTGGTGCAGCTTGATTAAATTTAAGGGGGCTGTTGGGCCTTGGTGGAGGTATGACCTCTGTTCCTCTTGTTCTTTTGCTTGGATGTTTGACCTCAACTGTGCAGACTGATGTATGTGCACAGATGGAAATTATTTATTAGCATTAGCACACACACACACGCTCTACAAGCTTGAGGGCTGTCGCTTCCTGCTTCCTCAGTCTTAATGTCAGTGGGATCCAGGACACGGAGCGATCCACGGTGTGGACCTGTTTATATTCAGTCTACAGTGTAAACACGGACACACACTCTGCTGGAGCCGCTGGATCGGGATCCAGAGGAAGCTGCTGCTCGTCGGGCTCAGACCTGGTCTCAGGACGGATCCAGTTCACTGGGCTCCAGACGCGCTGCGCTCCTGATCCTGATCCTCTGTGTACGACCATGGGCTGCGGGTCTGTCTGGAGATAAACAGTGAGTCACTGTGGTTTAGTCTGGTGAAGCTATATAATCCCTGAGACGGGACATTCTTATTCTGTTCGAGCAGTAAACGCAGCTGCTTGACACGTTGTGAGTGTTTTAAATGGTGGTTGAGAAGGTGGACACAGAGACAGCTGCAGCTCAGAAAACTAAGAAACAAGCTGACATGAGATCTGAGCCTTTGGATCGAACCTGTTGATACAACTCAACTAATTCTAATAAACTGTGGTGCCCCGGTGGACTGTGGGGTTCAGGTAGGTACACCGCTGCATATACAGTGTTACCTGGGTCTTTACTGGTGACAACATGTGTTGTGATCATGAGGCAACTGTCTGTGGTCAGTCATCAATAATTAATGAGGAGGAATGTGTGAGAAAAGACAAATATACAATCAGAAGCAGAATCATTATTTGGTTTCCTCGTCTCTTAAAGGAGGTCTGTTTGTTTTTATTGCATGTGGGGATACAGGTTGCAGAAAGCCATTTGTGGCACTAGAGGGAGCTGCACAGTTGCCTCATGTCATGTCACATGAGTTAATTAAAAAAAGAAGTGAATGTTGTGAGGACATCGAGGTGAGGTGGTGTGGCCTTATCTCTGAGGCTGTGACTTCACATCAGCTGCTACTAGCATAACACACCTGAATGTCTGAACCATAGACTGTACATAAAGATGGACGACGTGTCTCCACTTCCTCTCACTGTTTAAAACTGAATATATAATATCTCGGATTTGAATACTGCCATCTTGCAATTTTGAAACCATGGTATGCTGCATTAGTTCTGCCGACACACACTCGACCAATCGTGAATTAGTCTCAAGTGTCAATCATGATGTTTCACCCCGTTCATTTTCATAAACTTACTGGAAAAATTATCACATTATCACAACAAACATCAGTTTAAAAAAGATTCCCTAAAATGACCCAAACCATATTTTAGAAAAATTCATTTGACATTTACTTTGACTTCATCCATGTCCCATCCACTGACACGGAGGAGGCAGGGTTTATGACCCAAACTGCAGCCAGCCACCAGATGGGAATCGAGATGCTTTGGCTTCACTTTTGGGATTTGTCTTGTCATCCATCTTTACGTACAGTCGATGATTTGAACAAATTGGTGTGGGATAGGTGTTGGGGTGGCGTTCAAACTGCATGATGGGTAATGTAGGCACCAGTTTTTCACACTGTGGAAGAAAGTGGGGAATTTTGACCAACTAAGTAAATGTTCCAAGGCTCAATAAGTTGTAATTTATGCCTTGTGTTGTATCGTGATTACACTGATGCCCCTACATGTATATCCCATCAGCTGAAACCAGTGGCAGCAGTTATGGGAGCCCGACGGACTTGGTTCCTTCGGGTTCACTGCCAAGACGGTGAATCCCCTGGTCCAGACCATGACAGGGAGAAGAGCTATGCCGAGCTGTTTGATCAGCTGGACCTCAACAAAGATGGACACATCGACATCTTTGAGCTGCGGACAGGGCTGGCAGGCCGAGGGCTTTCCAGAGGCTCCTTTGAGAGGGTAGGACACCTGTTTGTTTGATATTGTGCAGTGACATACACAGTATAAGGGCTGTGGGTTCTACATTCACATTTAAAAAGTACAGTTGTTAACATTAAGGTATTAAAATACTCCTCAGGGTCAAGGCTCCCGACAGACCGACTAACCAACCTTTACTAAAACTGTGTTTGCATAAAGATAGTGACACACTCATTTAACAAACCAAATGGTTTGTTTGCAGTCATTTGTTGCTAGACTGGTGACAGGGCCATTGTAAAAACTTAACCTGTACTGTTGTACACATGCGTGTGTGTGTGTGAATCAGTAAAAGAGAGTGGAGGAGAGTGTGTTAACAGAGATTTCCTCTCATCTCTTCTCCACATCTTACATGGAGGCTGTGAGATATTTCCTTATGTAAAATGTCCTCAGACTTCAGCAGGAGCCAAAGACATCAACAGCAAACCTTTATTGTGAATACACACAGTCTGTTTCTCTGTGCTCCGTCTGTCTGTGTCTGTTTTGGAAAGAAGTGTGTGGATCACCAAGAAGATTCACTGTCACTTTCTCACATGTTTCTTCTTCTTTTCACTTTGTGTGTGGGGTGTGTGTGGAGTGTGAGTGGGGGGGGGGGGGGTATGTAAAGCACAGCATGGCATCTATTTTGGTACAAGCAGTAGGTCTTTGTAAGATGAGAATGGTAACCTTTCTCTCGGTCTCACAGTTTTTCACATATAGATCACTGTCCAAAGTGACACACTTTTCTTTCTTATTTGAATATAATTCTCATTGAAACAATCTGCCTTTATATTTAGTTTTTATTCCACATCTTTTACATATATATTTCTGATAATATTCCAGTAATATGATTTGATTATAGTTAGAAGATTAGCTTTGTTTAGTATGTTAGTATGATAAATGAGATTCTGAACATTTGATTTGTTTATCCACTCTTTCTGCCACTGTAAAATAGAGACTGTTTGTTCAATGTGCATTTTAAATAATATTAATTCAATGTTTATGTTGTGATAAACTAGCAAAGCCTCCTAAATAACTTCTCATAAACAACTGCCACAAACACAAGATACCAGCTGGCTGATAAATAAGAGGTGTAGCGATTTTATATTACAGCATGAAATCACTTTTTGTTTTTGTAACATCGGTATGTGTTGTATTCTTTAATTATATGATAATAAAGTGTATAATGTAGGTCATTCTTCAAATACACAACATGCTGTAGCAATATTTGTCCAACAGATGGCAAGGTCGAGGTTTAGACAGCAAACTGTGAGTGTAACCTTGATCTTGATGTATTTCGAAGCAGTCAGGGTCACATGTGTTGTATTTGTTGCTCTCATATATTTAAGAATTAATCATAGATGTAAAATAATACAATAAAGCTGATATTTTACATGTCTACATGATATGATGTCTGATGTTACCAGTGAGGATCCTGCTGCAGCTGCCAGTGAGAGAGAGAGAGGCCAAGCATCTCTCTGAACTCTATGATAGAAGCGTATTTGGGTTTCAGACTCTGATCCATACAGCCTTTATGTTTGCAACCAATCTTGAAATTAACTGATGTTGTGTCCAGACCTTCTTTCTCATTGACTTGGCTGTCCTCCGCTTTCAGATTGTCCAGACCGGGGACACCAACCATGATGGAGTACTGGACTTTGAAGAGTTCACACAGTATCTCCGCACCCATGAAAAACAGCTCAAACTCATGTTCAGCAGACTGGACAGGAATAATGATGGTCTGTATGCATCTATGAACTCACTGGAAATGATAAATCATTTCACTGTCACTTCGAATGTCCATATTCAGTCACTTCTCACTGTTTGTGATTGGTGGGTGTTTGCAGGTCAGGTTGATGCAGCGGAGATCCAGCACTGTCTACGCACCATCGGTGTGGACATCAGTCTCGAGGACGCCACCAAGATTCTACTACGGTCTGTCAGTCTTGTAAACACAATTTGAGAAAATGAACTCCACTTCCTTTTAGTAATCCTCTCCGATGGTTACTGTATATTCAGTGAGATTAGACATCTTTTTATACATCACACAGATCTGAGCTGTGTGTCCTGATATGATTTATCAAACTCTCAGTATTTCTGAATGCAAAAGACACACAGCGCCTTCATCTGGCTGATGTAGCCAGAGAGGTGTTGCAATCATGGTGATTACTCTGACAATCAAACCCTGGATTATAATTGTTTAATAAAAGCAGGTCATGACTTTTATGATTTCCTGCACCTGCACCTCGCTGAACTGCGTCTTCAGGGCTCAGTATTTGCTCTCATGGTTACAGTCAGTGCTGCATTTCCTACTTTTGTGTCTAAGAAGCGTCTTCTCATACATTGTTGCACTGCCAACCATTAAAGGACTCCTCCTCCCCGTGAAACAAGAGCAAACTATTGTTCCTGCCTTCTTTAATCTGTGTGTCTACTTAATGTTGCTACTTTCTGCTATGAAAAACACAATGTTCCACGTTTGTTTAACTGTTTGTCACCCAGTATTGACAAGGATGGTACCATGACAATTGACTGGAATGAGTGGCGAGACTACTTCCTGTTTAAGCCCATCACTAATATGGAAGATGTGGCCCGCTACTGGAAACGTTCGATGGTGAGGGGACACACACTCGAACATACACACTTTCAAAAAAAAAACTTTTGTGTGCTCAACTCTTTCTGTTTACTCTCCTTTTTCTCATTGTCACTCTTATTCCAACCACCATAACCTCAGTAGATGTTGGATATAGGTGAGCAGCTGACAGTCCCAGATGAATTTTCAGAGGAAGAGAAGAAGTCTGGGTATGTGTGGCGGCAGCTGATGGCCGGAGCCATGGCTGGATCTGTATCACGAACTGGAACCGCCCCCTTGGACCGTCTCAAAGTATTTCGACAGGTCGGTTGGGGACAATTACGATCTTTTACGAATTAATCACTCATGAGTTACTACCTTTGTTTGACATGTTTCTGTGATAACCTTCCTGCTCTGCTCTTCCAGGTCCATGGTTCCTTTGTCTTTACAGGGAACGTGCTAAACAGTTTTCAGTACATGGTGAAAGAAGGGGGACTGCGGTCGTTGTGGAGGGGCAACGGAATCAATGTTCTCAAAATTGCCCCAGAGACTGCAATCAAGTTCACAGCCTATGAGCAGGTGAAGCAGACAGCAGCAACTTGAAGCTGTAATTTTCTACAGGTTCTTCTAGTTGTCTTGCAACCTCAGATCAGCCAAAAGACTCCAGGAAGTTCCTGCTCCCAGCCAACAAATATCCTAGCACATAAAAGCCAGTGAAACAGCAGCATTTTTTTTTTCTTTGGGTTTTGAATGGATGAAAAGATTTGATTCAAAAT